CTTTTGATGAGCTAAAGCGCAAGTTGACTTCTGCACCAGTTCTGTCTACTCCACAGAGTGGGATAGAGTATCTTGTCTACACAGATGTTTCTTTGCAAGGTCTTGGATGTGTTTTGATTCAGGAGGAGCGACAGATTTCATATGGATCTCGGAAGCCACATGAGCTTAATTATCCAACACATGATTTGGAATTGGCAGCAGTGGTATTTGCCTTACGTATTTGGAGGCATTATCTGTTGGGCGAGTCCTTCAGATTATTTAGTGATCACAAAAGTCTACAGTATTTGTTCACTCAGCGGGAGCTGAATATGAGACAACATCGTTGGTTAGAGTTTGTAAAAGACTATCATTTCTCTATACAGTACCATCCAGGAAAAACGAATGTGGTGGCAGATGCACTCAGTCGCCGACCCACTGCTAGTCTTTCTGCTTTATTCACCACTGAGTGAAATGCTTTGAAGACGGTGGATAAGTTGTCGGATGCTTTCATAGCTTGCATGGTAGTTACACCTTCTATCATTCACAAAGTTTTGAGGGCGCAACTCACGGATCTGCAGTGCATTGACAAAGTTACAGAGATAACTGCTGGGGAGGTCCCATTTTACCATGTTGGGGCTGATGGAGGTTTGAGGTACAAGGGACGTTTAGTGGTACCTTTTGCTGATTATTTAAGGAAGGATGTAATGATTGAGACTCATCATTTTGAGTTTTCTGTTCATCCAGGAGGAGACAAGATGTCTCAGGATATGAAGCGGCAGTTTTGGTGGGCAGGTATGAAGAGAGACATTGCTCTTTTTGTTTCTCAGTGTAGTACTTGTCAGATGGTCAAGATTGATCATCAGTGGTCGCCAGGAGGTCTACATTCACTACCGATACCGGAGTGGAAATGGGAGAGCATTTTTGTGGATTTTGTGGAGGGATTGCCTAATTCCTTCAAGGATCACAATTCCATTTGGATCATCGTGGATAGGTTGACTAAATCAGGTCATTTCTTGCCTATTCGCACTGACTTCACATCGGAGCAGTTGGCGAGACTTTACATTATAAAGATTGTAAAGTTGCATGGTATTCCGTTGTCTATTATATCGGACAGGGATTCGAGCTTTGTGTTAGGTTTTTGGAAGAGTTTTCAGCAGGTTTTGGGTACAGAGTTACATCTTAGCATTGCTTATCATCCTCAGACTGATGGACAGACAGAGCGGGTATGATACCCCTCGGATCCGGGACACGGGTTGATCAGGCCCGGCCCAAACCCGAGGGATGTCAAACAATTAAAGTATTTTATAACGAACACAGAATACTAGGTGAAATAAGAAATAATATAATAAGCGGAAAGAAACTGAAAAAAAGAAAATCCTTGAATCATAATTAATCAAATCTGATATTCCAAAACCTCCACATAAGTTTACAACTTGGGAATCCATCCAGTGGACCCCTTTATTAAAATTCTCAAACCGAAACTGAAATAACTGAAATAGAATCTAAAGCTAACATAGAGAAGATTCCTACGTAGTCGGAGGAATGAATATATGTATCTGCTCTACACGTCCAAGCTCTAGCCCTGGAACTGACGAACACTTGAAAAATAAAGGAGTGGGTCAGGCCCACATGCAAGTCCTATTCTACTACGATCGAAACAGTAATCCGATACGCAGATACATCCTAGAAAGACACAACAATATCTAGAGTAGTCCATATATGTATATATAGTACACACTATAGGACGCTCGCTAGTCCAGTAGGTCTATCTAAGCCTGAGTAGAGGTACCATGCAAATCGCACACAAGGGTGGGCATGAAATACCTAGACTTACCAGGGAACAACACCTATGTCCAGTTATCCATCCTAGGTGATATACGCACCCTAACCATAGTCCTGAGACTCAGGCTCATACCATGGCACATATAATAAAATATATAAAGTCCATCCTCCTGGTACAAAATATCAATCAAATATATTATAATTGATACATGTAACGAATCCATCCTGAAACCAAAAGTAGGTCACTCAATTCACAATTGATATAACACATGTAGGTGATGGACTGAACCTTTATGAGTAATCCATACCTCAATCCAAATTAGGTAGAACTTAGTGTTTTAACTAGTCCATACCTAGTATGTCACCGTCCTATACCGGTATATACAATCCTCCAGCTAACACAGTTGACAAATACAGTATTAAATAGTCAACAACCATACTCCAGAATATGCACAAGATAAATTAAATGCATATACATAAATATTAGGCATTCAGTACAGAGCCTAAAATCATATCCAATGCTGTAAACTGCAATGACAAATGTAACCCTTTACATCCTCCAACAAAATATTGACGACGGCCGTTCCAATACGCCAAACTGAATGTAGTGAATGTGTGGTTCAAGAAAAGCCTTTTATGTCAAATTTAAATTTATAAAAACCACTACCAACACTACTACTAACGTAGCAAGAGTGAGTAGGGATCGTCCCAAGGGATTATACGTGTTGGAATTTCAACTTCGACTCTAGCGTACCAAATGATTGCAAAAGAGAATTGGGTTGGTTGATTACTTCTAGAAAAGAATTAATTAAAATGCAATAAGATAAAGAGTAAGTAAGAAGGAAAGGTCTTGGGGTATAGAGATCACCACCAAACAATACTATTCCAAACCATAATCAAGTGACTAATGAGGGAAATGAATGTGTTGCAACAATGTTGTGTGTGTAAAAGACATTCAATTGGTAAGGGTGACTCAACAAGTGCAAATTGTCTCAATCAACATATGTGAGGCCACAATACATCTATTAGTAAAGGAATATATTGTCTAGACATCATGTGAAGAGAACAAAATATCAAATCAAGTCATTAAATCTTTCATTAAGCTCATAGTCCAAGCAATCCATAAGGATGACTTAGTTAAACATGCATTATCTAAACATCATGTGAAAGGTACAAAATATCTATTGGGAGAGGAATAAATTGTCTAAACACATGTGAAAGATACAACATATCATAACTAGTCATTAATCCTTCATTAAGCTCACAATCCACATACAACACAATATTAGAGGAATATGCCATTTGGACTCACAAGCATGGAACATCAAACATCAAGAGTAGATTGTCCTCCCATCTAACATTACACTACCACTACACTAAATCTACACTACTAGCATGAAAATAAAGCTATCTAGACTAGGGGAGAGGCACAAACCATCAAGAATAGGCATAAACCATCAAATGAACCAAAATAGCATTCATTAAACATATCATCTTGATAATCTCTAGATCTATAGCATCAATACACATAGACATGCATCAAAAACACTAAATCTAGAGATAAGCACATGAATATCCTACTCTAGCATACATAGACATATGGGTAGAATAGAATAGTCAATTGGAAGCATTAAACCATACAAACCATGAAATAATCAAGATTTATATATACATGAATATCAAGATGTATTATACAACACTAATCTCTCAATAATACACAAGATTAGAGTATAGAAAGCATGCTTGGGCTAACTCTAGCCCCAAGAGGATGTCTAGACACTCATGGTAGTGATGATCCAACCCTCAAGGGCTAACTCCATGGCTGCTCCTTGTTGGTGAAGATCTCCTCCAATTGTGCTCTAGCTTCCCTCCTTCCTCCTCTCCAAGAATAGCCTCCAAGATGATTTTCAATGTGACAAGAGACTTTAGACTCCCCCCCAAAAAGTGTATCATATTCCTTATATAGGTAGGTCAAATACACCCTATGATGAGCTGTGGTCGTGTAAGGCATATTCTCCAATGATTGGGTGAAGGACGGAATAAATGAGCTGGACTTTAACTTTTTCTCGCTGGAGGAAGTTCGATCGATCGAACCTTAACTTGGATCGATCGAAGATGGGTTCGATCGATCGAATTGCATCTTGGATCGATCAAAGTGGTCTGACTCCTCCGGATAAGGACAAGGCTGAGATATTTCGAAGATATTTATGGGGAAAAGGACAAAAGTGGTTGGTAGGCGTACAACTGTGGATAAGATCAATCATTTGAATAGGACAAAATAGGGTTCGATCGATCGAAGGTGATGTTGGATCGATCGAACTTGGAATTTCAGCAAAGGCCAAGGTTGGATCTATCGAGAAGTACTGTGATCGATCATAGATGTTCGATCGATCGAACTCTAAGTTGGATCGATCGAACTTTTCAGCTGCACAACTTTGATTCTTTTTTGCTCCTTTCTTTCTCCACTTTGCTCCCTCCTTTGGTTTATCTCAGGATTGCTTCAATTAAGCTCTTATTTGGCTGAGTTAGCTCAATTTTGGGATTAGTGCCTGAAAATATAAATATCACGTAATAAGTCTAAAACGGCAAAATAAGATAGATAAAGGTACTAGAATGCTTAAACTTAACGGGTTTAAATGCGCACTTTTCAGTGCTCATCACACCCCCAAACTTAAATATTGCTAGTCCCTAGCAATGAACTAAGAAGTAAAGGAATGAAATGAACAACTAAACAAGTATAAACTGGAAAGCAAGTAAAATGATAGCGCCACTTTCGCAGGGAACACGATTGCATTTAGCATATGCAACAAGCCTTTTAAACCCCTAGGTTACCCCTAATGGACGAGTAAAGTCTCGTGAGGGTTTCCAGAAATGGTACCCACAAACATTAAGCTTATTCTTTCAAAAGAGGCACCAATATTGCAAACAAGTATTGGGAGAAAACTACCTCAAGTATGCAATTTTTCAACCGTTTCTAAGCAATCTCCCAAAATTTCAATATCAAGCAAGCAAGCATGGTCCTCCACATATCAAGAAAATGATCATGAAAATCGAAACAAGTCTAGATACCATGTGAGAGGTCCGGCATCAAGTGTATTGCTATCTTAGCCAACTAGAAAAGTAATCACATCCTTACCCTCAAACTAGCACACAAATCTAGTACCGATCATCAAGATAAGAGAGTGGACCTTTTATTAAAGCTTTATTGTTCTAGGTGCGCTTATTCTTTTCACTCTATTTTTATTTTATTTTTTTTATTTTTTATTGAGGATCAAAGATGGAAGTATTGTGCAATGTGTTGATCTCTTATGCTTTCTAGAAGATTCATGTAGCGAGCTTTAGGTCAATGACTCCCAAACCAGATGGCTTTAGGGCATTAGGTGTTAAGACTCCCCAACGGACTTACAAACTCAAATCAACTAGGCTACAAATCAAGACAACAACCATCTAATCATTTCCCACTTCTCGCCTTTTGGGAGAAATCCTCACTTTTATTGCTTTTGCAACTTCTTTTTCTTTTTCTTTTTCTTTTTTTTTTTTTTTTTTTTTTTTTGAAATAATCAATTCAATTATTAACCTAGAGTTTGGGCCCTCCACCTTTCGGCGCGAGAAGTTCACTGCTTAATGAGGCAAGAATCCCGGCTACTCAATGAAAAGGGGTTGTTATCCACCTTTATCAAGAATGAAAGCTTTCAATGCACTACTAGCCCAATTGGGATATAACCAATTCAATAATCAACAAAGCATGTACCCCACAAATGAATGCTAGTGTACACCGGTGCTAGTGTAGAATCCTAGAATGAATCTCAAAACAATCACATATTCAGGATGATGTGGACCACAAATGCAAGCAAGATATCAATCTTTTGAAAAATTTACTCCTAAATGGCATCCTCAAGGCATACAAGGAGTATTGGACTCTCAAGTCAAGTAATTTTTAAATTTTAAGCAATATAGTTCTCAAAAGATCAAAATCATAGCTAGAAATGGACCAAGTATAGAAATATCCCTCAAATACACAAGACATGCTCAAAATTTGAATTTTAAAGTAACACTGAAATATACACCAATACCCCCAAACTTAAATTGCACATTGTCCTCAATGTGTGAAGAGAACAAAGGAAAGAGTATATCAGTGCTTTAGACATGAATGATCGGGATAGAAGTATCCAAAGTAGGTGGCATAGCCCCCCCAAACTTGGGATAAACGGTGGTCCTGAAAAGTTTGCACTCGGATAAACTCATTAGATAACAAGATAGGATAATCAGTGCACAGTGGACATGCAAGTGTAAAATGGGATAAATAGAGAATAGAGAGAGAGGTATAAGAGTGGTCCTGAAAAATTGGGCAGCACTCTCTCACTGAAGTCACTGTGGTGTACCTGATGGAGTCAAACATACAAATATGAGATACTAAGAGACATCCATAATCAAAAAGCAATATATAGAGAATATAAAGTGCAGGTACATCAATAAAATAATAAAGCCGACAGACCGGCCGCAAAGTATAATACAGTAACAGTGACAGTATAATACAGATCCAGAATAAAAGAAATGAAAGCATAGAACAACTGGAAGTGGAGTCTCAGGAGGCCTGATCGTGAAGATCTGCAGTGGCTGGAGGTGCAGGTGCAGGGAGTCGGCTGGAGAGATCGGCAAAGCAAGCCATGACATCCGCCCTGAAAGAGGTGAACTCAGCTCGGTGGGCAGTGATGTCGGCTCGCATGACTGCTACGTCCTCCTCTAGTGTCTGCAAGCGTGTTCCGAATCCGGGAGTGGGAACTAGAGACTCAGGCAGAGATGCCTCTGAAGAAGACTCCCAAACTCGCTCCTGAGCAGCGGCTCGATCACTGGTATCATCGGCATCAGCATCATCTGCAGCATCGGCATACTCCTCCGCAGGTCGCTCCAGGTCAATGTCCATACGATCGGTAGCCGGACCGACTGGTGCGTCGTCCGCTGCGATATCTGCTGCTGCTGGAGGTGCCGGCTGTGCCTGGGCTGCCTCCTCCTCCTCTAGTTCAGCTGTTGCCTCTACAGCTGGCTCCTGAAGACTCCGAATAAGAGCATTGTAGCTCTTATTCCAGTCGCTCCTCCTATAGAAGCTGGACCGTGCAAGGGGCTCCTCATCTGGGGGCACTCTGTAGCGCTGATCAAGAAGGATCTGCGTGATGAGGTGTCCGAAAGGCAGGACCTTGGACCGCTTAGGGTCCTTCCTGGAAATGAAAGAATCATACAGCAACCTCATCACGCTCCAGATGAGGACTGGGATAGATACCCAGCAGCCCGTGTAAAAAGCGTAAAGAGCTGTCAAGTAGTCATGACGCCTCTGGATCTTGTGGCCCGCCATGTAAATGTTCTGGAAAAGAACTGTGTCGATGAACCAGAAGTCGTCAGGCAAGAAGGTCCTGGTGGCGAATGTCTGACCACCGGCATGATGGCCTGTCAAGGAGACAGCCATGTCAGAAAATGAAGGCCTATGCAGCCTCGGGTATGTCTCTGCGAGCTCAGGTGGACACCGGTATGGGCACCGGCAAGCACGGGCCAGAGTGTCAACTGTGATGACAATCTCGTGGCCGTCCAGTGTAGTGATCATCTCCGCGGTAAATCGTGGCGAGGGCCGGAGATGCTGAAAGAATAACCGCACCAGTCGCGGGTATACAAGGCCAGTGACTGGGGCAAAGATGGCTGAGAGGCCCCGCTGCATGATATCCTGATAGCCAGACCGGGTCAGGATAGACTCGGAGAAGTACGCAGTATCGAAGTACGAAGTATCGAAGTACGACTCCTGAGCCACGGTCATGGCTGCATATCTCGGCAGCAACTGGTCACGGCGCTGAGCCGGTAGAGGTGGCTGCGGTGATGGCATGGCGGCTGCATCTGCCTGATGGCGCACAGGAGAAGGTGATGGTGTGAAGGCTGGAGGAGCCTGGGATGTAGATGGCATGTGGTCAGCTCCCTCCTCAGCCTCGTGGGATGGGGACTGAGGGGGAGTAGCCTGTGTGGGCTCCTCCTGAGCATGGGCTCTGCAACCATCTCTATCCTGGGCCGTATATGTCTGCGGGGTCGCTGTGGCCCCGAAGATCTCCTGGCTGTACTCTTGTACCGCGGAGGCATGATCTGGCCGAAATTGGCTCGCCGGAGATGAGGAAGATGATTGTGATGGAGGTTGGCCGGATTGAGATGAGATTGAGAGAAGAGGGAGACTAGGGTTTAGTTTCCTTTTGAAGTTGGATCGATCCAAAGTGATCGATCCAACTCAGTTATATTTTAAAAACACGATATGCAGAGTTCGATCGATCGAACTTAGGTCTCCACTCTTAATGGCATTTTGTTGAAATTTTGGATTTTTTTTTTTTTTTTTCAAAGGAAATTAAATTAATGAGATGCAAATTTCGATCGATCGAAAAGGATAAAGAATGTACAAGTTTAAGGGTTCAAGAGTTGATACGTGTTGGAACCTTGGATCGATCGAACTTGGAATTCGATCGATCGAACATGAAAAATTTTGAAAAGTCCCGAGAGCATGCATTTTGGAATTTGGATGCAGGTCCAAAATTTTTCTAAATGTTGGGACTCATGATCGATCGAACCATATGTTGGATCGATCGAAAGGTAGTTCGATCGATCGAAATGGTTTACGATCGATCGAACTTTTGAAAATTTGGAGATCCCGAGAGCATGCATTTTGGAATTTGGATGCAGGTCCAAAATTTTTCTAAGTGTTGGGTGCAAAATGAGAGCTGGATCGATCGACTCCATAGTTGGATCGATCGAACCAAAATTCGATCGATCGAACCAAAACTTGGATCGATCGAAATTATGCCTAAATGCTCAAAATGACTTGAATGCTCACGCAACCCCTTACTCAGTTCCTTCCAATGTATATGAACCACAAAAACAGTATCTAGACTTCGCAAGAATCAAAATGCAAGATAGAAATGAGGGAGGAATAGAGTTGTGAAACTCTACGAATACTAGTGTTTAACGTCTCTAGCAAGACGTTAGGTCAACTTACTAATCAAATGAATCAAAAACTGGATATGAAACATCCTTATTGACCCTCTTTTCACTTTTCTCATTTAATGTCCCACTTATGACAATAAAATCATCCTCCAAAAGAATGACTTGAAAAGAAATAAAAGAGATGATATTGTTCCTTTCATCCACGGTCTTGAAAACAAAATCAATCATGGTTAGGCTTGCCTCTTTGTTGTGTTCTTGAAACACATTCAAATGATCATCCACATTGATAATTGGTGAGGTATTGTCTTTCAAAGACTCATTTGGATTAATAAGAAACACCCTCTCTTCATCCCTCTTCTCCTCCTCGTAAATTACCATTTTCTCACCTTCTAAGTAAGCTAAGGAGTCCATTAGAGAGTTTATTTCATTTTTAGAGCTTTTAAAGTCAAAACCACAATTTTCATACATTTCCAAAAGACATTCCTCAAGAGGGTCATTAGAGATAATAGAAGAAAGACCCTCTTCAACAAGTTCATCCTCCTTCTCTCGTTCCTCAAGTGTGGTCAACATCTCCTCACTCTCTAGAGTAGCCATCTCCGAGATAAAATCATAATCAAAACAAGGAAAGTCCTCATTAATCATGTTATGTTCTATTGGATTAGCCACTAACTCACTTGCTACTTCCTCTTCTATACAAGATAGAGTGCTAGGCATTAGCTCACTTGTTTCATTCTCCTCACTCTCATCATCCTCATCTATATTCATTGAAGTTCTTGCCATTTTTTCATTTGCCTCTTCCTCCTCCTCTTGATGAGAAAGAGTACTTGCAATTTGCTCAACTTGAGCTTCTAAGTTGGCTAAAGCTTGAGAATGAGAATTAATAAGTGAAGTGTGTGAAATATGCACATCAAGTAAAGCTAACACTTTTTCTTCAAATCCGGGTGAGTACTTAGAAGGTGGTGGAATTGATTCATTATAAAATGGTTGTGGAGAGCAATAGTCATAAGAAGGATTAAATGAGTGATCAAGTCCATAATAAGATGATGCATGAAATGAATTGGACTCAATCTCATAAGGATTAAAATATGATGGAGGAGCATAAGGTGAAGGGATGTAATTCCCCCCCAAACTTGGATCAAACAATTCCTCCATTCACAATTAAAACCCAAATGCAAGAAAAAATTGGCCTCAACAAGGGCCTATGCTTGGACAAAAATTTAGCAATAAAATGAGCCTCAACAAGGGCTATCACAAGCATACAAAGAAGTGAAACAATTAAAATACAAGAGAGCCAAGAATTGGTCACAATGGTCCTTTAGCACTTCAACTCCAAATTTAGCTTTTAAGCTCCAATGATTGCTTTAAGTTCCAAAGTTCGCCTTCCTTGTAGTCAAGTACCTAATTGAACAAATAATAATGAGAATCAAGAGAAAAGAATATACAATGGAAAATAAAATAAAAATAGAAGCAATCTAATGAACACTATTGTCTAGTTTAATTCCAACAAAACCGTTAATCCCCGGCAACGGCGCCAAAATCTGACGACGGCCGTTCCAATACGCCAAACTGAATGTAGTGAATGTGTGGTTCAAGAAAAGCCTTTTATGTCAAATTTAAATTTATAAAAACCACTACCAACACTACTACTAACGTAGCAAGAGTGAGTAGGGATCGTCCCAAGGGATTATACGTGTTGGAATTTCAACTTCGACTCTAGCGTACCAAATAATTGCAAAAGAGAATTGGGTTGGTTAATTACTTCTAGAAAAGAATTAATTAAAATGCAATAAGATAAAGAGTAAGTAAGAAGGAAAGGTCTTGGGGTGTAGAGATCACCACCAAATAATACTATTTCAAACCATAATCAAGTGACTAATGAGGGAAATGAATGTGTTGCAACAATGTTGTGTGTGTAAAAGACATTCAATTGGTAAGGGTGACTCAACAAGTGCAAATTGTCTCAATCAACATGTGTGAGGCCACAATACATCTATTGGTAGAGGAATATATTGTCTAGACATCATGTGAAGAGAACAAAATATCAAATCAAGTCATTAAATCTTTCATTAAGCTCATAGTCCAAGCAATCCATAAGGATGACTTAGTTAAACATGCATTATCTAAACATCATGTGAGAGGTACAAAATATCTATTGGGAGAGGAATAAATTGTCTAAACACATGTGAAAAATACAACATATCATAACTAGTCATTAATCCTTCATTAAGCTCACAATCCACATACAACACAATATTAGAGGAATATGTCATTTGGACTCACAAGCATAGAACATCAAATATCAAGAGTAGATTGTCCTCCCATCTAACATTACACTACCACTACACTAAATCTACACTACTAGCATGAAAATAAAGTTATCTAGACTAGGGGAGAGGCACAAACCATCAAGAATAGGCATAAACCATCAAATGAACCAAAATAGCATTCATTAAGCATATCATCTTGATAATCTCTAGATCTATAGCATCAATACATATAGACATGTATCAAAAACACAAAATCTAGAGATAAGCACATGAGTATCCTACTCTAGCATACATAGACATATGGGTAGAATAGAATAGTCAATTGGAAGCATTAAACCATACAAACCATGAAATAATCAAGATTTATATATACATGAATATCAAGATGTATCATACAACACTAATCTCTCAATAATACACAAGATTAGATTATAGAAAGCATGTTTGGGGCTAACTCTAGCCCCAAGAGGATGTCTAGACACTCATGGTAGTGATGATCCAACCCTCAAGGGCTAACTCCATGGCTGCTCCTTGTTGGTGAAGATCTCCTCTAATGGTGCTCTAGCTTCCCTCCTTCCTCCTCTCCAAGAATAGCCTCCAAGATGATTTTCAATGTGTGACAAGAGACTCTAGACTCCCCCCCCCCCAAAAGTGTATCATATTCCTTATATAGGTAGGTCAAATACACCCTATGATGAGCTGTGGTCGTGCAAGGCATATTCTCCAATGATTGGGTGAAGGACGGAATAAATGAGCTGGACTTTAACTTTTTCTCGCTGGAGGAAGTTCGATCGATCGAACCTTAACTTGGATCGATCGAAGATGGGTTCGATCGATCGAACTGCATCTTGGATCGATCGAAGTGGTCTGACTCCTCCGGATAAGGACAAGGCTGAGATATTTCGAAGATATTTATGGGGAAAAGGACAAAAGTGGTTGGTAGGCGTACAACTGTGGATAAGATCAATCATTTGAATAGGACAAAATAGGGTTCGATCGATCGAAGGTGATGTTGGATCGATCGATCGAAGGTGATGTTGGATCGATCGAACTTAGAATTTCAGCAAAGGCCAAGGTTGGATCTATCGAGAAGTACTATGATCCATCATAGATGTTCGATCGATCGAACTCTAAGTTGGATCAATCGAACTTTTTAGCTGCACAACTTTGATTCCTTTTTGCTCCTTTCTTTCTCCACTTTGTTCCCTCCTTTGGTTTATCTCAGGATTGCTTCAATTAAGCTCTTATTTGGCTGAGTTAGCTCAATTTTGGGATTAGTGCCTGAAAATATAAATATCACATAATAAGTCTAAAACGGCAAAGTAAGATAGATAAAGGTACTAGAATGCTTAAGCTTAACGGGTTTAAATGCGCACTTTTCAGTGCTCATCAAATATGCATCAATATAAATTCATACATATATAACAAAATTAGGTATTCACTTCAGAACCTAAATATCATACTCCAACAATTTAAATAGCTAAAATATTGCATAGTATTTAAATTCTACATATAGTCCATAAGCTGATACCTTTTAACAGCCATTAAGTACCAATTCATTCCAAACCAATCATAGTTGAATTTACAGATAATTCACTACATTCATAACATGGTGGAAAATATGATTAAATATAATTAATTCATATACCAACAATTTGCTAAGTTCCGGTAATTAAATTTCTTAGCCAAACAGTGCAACGTATAAACATTTCTTGGAGCTGTTCATTACTCTTTTCCTTAATCCATTATTATACTAAGCATTTTCAATTTTAATATAAGTCCCTAACATTTAATTACACCTCACAATAGCCTTTAAACAGTTTCTGAAAACACTGTACAGCCCAAACACGCACAAAAACCATACTGTATGAGATTTCTGGGCAAGAGCAGGCTCTAAAAAAATTGAGCCTGCCCTTTTATTTGATTGAGCCGGCTCTATGGCTCTACGAGCCGGATCTAAGGCTGCCAAGAGCCGGCTCCAACCTTTGGGAGCCGGCTCTAAGGGTTATAGAGCCGGCTCTGCCCCCTTTTGGAGCCTGCACTCACTCCCTTAGATGCCGTCGACCGTTTCTACCTCATCTTCTTCGACTCTGGTGTTTTCCCAGACCTCTATAATGTTTTTAATAGTTGTCCTAGGGTTCAATCTTTGTCCTAGATTAATCCTAACCCACTGATATGCAACCACGATCTGAATTAGACACAAGTTTTGAAGCAACGATTACAGAATTTCTGATAACAACTTTAAGCAACTTACAATAGGTTTATTTAGTAAAAATCAAAACTGTTTTAAGATATTGTTCTAGGGTTTAAACTCACTCCTAGATTATTTACAAGGCATCCAATATAAAATTTACAAACCTCAGTTTAAAACAAACTTAACCACAAACTACAGAAAGAACAGAGTATCACAATTAAGCAAAACAGTTAATTCACTAGTATTAAACCAGATTCGTATATACATAAAACATGTTATTATGTTTATTTACAACTATTTTAGCCTTTATTAAGTCCCTAGGGTCTAACTAGGCATGCACAGAACACGAATTAAAGGGAAAGAGTAAGAATTAAGACTTGCCTCTGATTTCGGGTTGAAAATCTAAAACTGTCGTCACTAGCAACTCCGGCAACGTCAATTGTTGTTATCAACCTCTGCCGCTCCTAGTTAAATCCAGAACTCCTCCTTGAATCCCTCCCTTAATCTCTTAAGGTTCTCTCTGTATTTTGTTTCACAAAACACACTCAGTTGCTCTCTGTAATCTCTCTGTATCTTAGGTACGTGGATATGGTGAATAGGGTTTACAAAAACCCTTGGCAGACGTATACCTATATATTTATATGTTTTATTTGAAACCCTAAATTCAAATCCTAAACCAACTACAAGTCGGCTCAAACCCAAGATACGATTTAATTTAAGCAAAACCCTAAGTCAATTCACATAATTACTTTAATCCATTTTAAAATAAAATCCAATTAAATACACATGAGATTAAAAATAATCAACCACATAACATAAAAATAAAACCATTTAATTTAAAGAAAATAAAACACAAGTAAATAACAATAATACAACAAGTAATTCAAATAAAAACACTTAAATAATTAAACCAATTAAAATAATTCAATAAAATTACACATAATCAAATAAAATGCAATTAAATACAATAATTAAATTCCAGAATTGTCCTTGTAAAATTAGGGGTATTACAGCGGGTTAATCAGATTATGGAGGATATGCTACGTTCGTGTGTTCTTGACTTCAAGGGCCACTGGAAGGATTATTTGCCACTTGTGGAGTTTGCATATAACAATAGTTTCCAGAAGACTATTGGGATGGCATCATTTGAGGCATTGTACGGCCGACCATGTCGATCGCCTATTTGTTGGATAAAGGTTGGCGAGAGCAGATTCTTGGGTCCTGAGTTTATCAAGGATACTTTTGAGAAGATTGCTCTTATTAAGGATTGCATGCGCACTGCCTAGAGTAGGCAAAAGAGTTATGCGGATCGTCGTACTCGTGCATTGGAGTTTCGGGTTGGAGATCAGGTTCTACTCAAAGTGTCTCCTATGAAAGGAGTAATGCGCTTTGGAAAGAAAGGGAAATTGTTTCCGCGATTTGTCGGTCCATTCATGATTATGAATCGAGTTGGAGCTGTCGTTTATCGGTTAGCACTTCCGAATAATTTGGATCGCGTACACAACGTGTTTCATGTTTCCATGTTGTGGAAATTTTTGTGCGATGAGGATCGGTATCAGCATATCGATGTTGGGGAGATTGAGTTGCAGCAGGATGCAACTTATTTAGAGCCACCATGTCGTATTGTCGACCGTCGGGATCAAATTTTTTGCAACAAGGTTATACCTTTGGTGTGTGTTCGGTGGAGCCATCACAATGAGGCTGAGTCTACTTGGGAACGGGAGGATGTCATTCGCTCATAGTTTCCTAAAATATTGGAAGAAGGTAAGAGCGAATTCCGAAAACGGAATTCCTTTTGTTAGGGGGGAAGAATGTAATACCCCTAATTTTAAATGGATAGTTTCGGTAGTTTATTTTATGGTTTTGTTGTAATTTTTGCATTTGTATGTGTTTATTTGGCTATTTGTGTATTTGTTTATTTATTGTTAATTAATTGAATTAATTGTAGTATTTGTTTTATTTTAATCGAATTAATTAATTAATTAATTGTTTTAATTTTTCTTTCTTTATTATATGCTGATGTGGATTAATGAATTAATTGTTTTCTTTTAATTAAATTAATTGTTAAATGTTTTAATTATGTAACGGTGTTTTTTTAATTGGTAGCAGACATAGTTTTAAATTAGGTTTTGTTCTATGGGCTGATTAAGTATCAGATTAGGGTTTAGTTGAACCTAGGTTTAGTTTTGCCTATAAAGATAAGTATTAAGTTCTTCATAGGGTTTTAGAACCTTATTCACGATAGTGGAGGCAGAGAGAGAATAGAGGAAGGTTTACAATAGGAGTTCGCCAGAGAGTTTGGGAAGACGACGGTGCAAGGTTTCGGATTGAGACCTAAAGGCAAATTCTAATCCTAACTCTTTTCCTTTGGCTCGTGTTCTTTACATTCTTAACACAACTTCAGGAGTAAAGAAATATAAACGTTAATCTGGTTTACATATCAGATGTAATTAAATCAGTATGTATTTCTATACATGCTTAGGATATTTCAGGAGACTTAAACAATTAAAACGGAATAATCATGTATGCTTAATCGGACTAAAACAGAGAATTTCATGATTATATATATGCTTGTTTAGCGACTTCTTTATTCTTAAATTATAATGCATGAACTGTTGTTTAAGTTGAATCGTTGCCTACAAAAACACTTAAAATAATTTAATATGGACATATGGGACTTAGGTTGAAGCTTAGAGGCCTTAACTATAGAGTTTTAGAGTTTACAGAGGCTGAACAGACGAAGAAGACAACTTCAGCACCAACTTAGCCGACTAAGTTGGCAACTCAGCCTGCTCAGTTGGCAACTCAGCCTGCTCAGTTGGACCTCGACCTGGATGTTGGTTTTAATTGCCCAGAATTATTTTTAAACCTATTTTAATTAATCTAAATGGGTTAAATGGACTTTAGAAGGTTCTAAAATGCATAATACACTTTATATGCTTAAGGAATTGGACAACACGGAGTTATAAAACAATTTCTTTACAATTTATGCATACTGGTTTTGGCTATGGAAAATTAAATTGCTTGGATTTATTTTAGCAATATTCTGGCACTGATTATATGTTTCAAATCATGTATCAATGGAAAAATAGGCATGCCAAATCTTATATTTTTGTTATGCTTGTTAAGAATTAAATTGATGTTTAAATTTCAGCATTCGTCACATCAATTGTTGGACTGAAAATATAAGCCATACTAGCAAGTAATTACATGAAGCAAGACATAACACACCTCTATCGTGCCAGTCTTCATTTTCTTGTTGACCGAGTCACTTGGCCGTGATCGAACAACGCCTTCCACCGCAATAACATACTCAAGTCTTGAGTCATTCACAACAGTATGAGCATCTGGAAACTCGTCAGGAAGTGTTGTGACCTTAAAATTAATAATGCCAACAGCAACTAAGAATAAAATCAACAGTAGTAACTTGGCAATATTAATATCAAAACCAATACAATTGCATATACACATAACAGAAGTTTGATCAAAAGTTGTTTGGCATAAAATAATCTGGAACCCAATAGACTACGAAATATCAGAAGAATACTATATAAACAAACTATGCATACTAATAATACATATAGGATGACACTGCCATCATTATTTCTTCCATTGAAGTATTAAAATACCATAATTGTTCCATTAACTACCCCAAAATATATATATATAGCATTCCCTTCAATTCAAATACTGTCCTTGTCACATCAATTTGTTAACAAACTTCTTGAAAATATGTATGTACATAGTCCAGAATCAATACATATATACACATTCATTTCCAATAATTCAAAATTAAAAAAATATTCCGTTCAAAACAACTCAAAGTTCAATAACTATTAACAATTCAACTAAAATAGTAAGAGAAATGTCATACCCACAAAATAAAAATAAAATCTTTAGCCAGCATATATCTCTCCAGTTTAATTTAAACCAAAATGACCACCTCACTCTATCAGTTACACATGGCTTTGTTAAATTTACAAGCACCCTTAATGCAAAATTGTATTCACATGAACAAAAAGAAGAAAAAGAATAAAATTAAGTTTTTTTTTTTTTTTTTTTTTTTTTCATTTCAAACCTGTACAATTCCAGTATTATCTCTGAGATTGAGGAAAGTTAGGCCCCCATGAATCCGGTGAAGCGCGACCCACCCGCAAAGCCTCACCCGTTTACCCACATCATTTTCGGACAATTCGCCACAAAGCCCAGTTCGACTGACCCATTCAAGGGTGTCTTTGAATGGGATTGGTGGTTGTTCAGAACTGGGTATTAGAACTTCTGTGGAAGAAGATTGAATAGAAGAAGCAGAAATGGATGAAGTGCTTCTTTTCAGAAAAAAGTTGGGTTTGTGGAGTTTGTGGAAGTTGAGGTATAACAGAGGGATGGGTGTGAGAGAGAGGGGTTTGGAACGGAGGGCTACAATGGGTAGGGCTCGGAGTAGCATGGACATGGCGATTTCGAGACAGAGGGGGGTTGATATCGGGAGGCTTATCTGTGAGAAAGAGGATGGCAAGGTTTAGTACCCGAAGGAATTGGGAAGGTGTATTTTTTTTTTTTTTTTCAAGTGTTAGAAAATAGATTGGTAGGTAATTTAGAGTGCCCTCCGTCCTAAATATGAGTCTAAAACATAGGCTCCTTTAAAAGTATGAGAAAAGACAAATTTGTCCTTATTTTTTAAATAATATTTATTTTAAAATATTAAATTAGTTAAAAGATAATTATACCCTTATAATTATACCACAAATAAAATCCGTAATTTCATCATCTCTCCTACGAAGAAGTCATTCAAATGAGGACATCAGTCACCTTTGGTGCCGGCGGCGACGACGAGGGCTTGGAGGTTTCGCTGTAATTAATTAAAGAAAAACAATAATGGCTTTTTAACAAAGTATAACAGAAGCAAACCAAAAATATAAAATTTGTGATATTACTAACCCCTTTCCTGGACCATGAGAGAGCCAAGACCTCACCATTGTGTCCATGGAATTCATGTAAAGGTTTCTCCAAAATCCGAAAGACTTTTGGTGGGAAAATTACACAAGCTGACTCCGTTGATTTCCTCAACCTCTTCATCCTACCAATTTTGTTTTTATCCACGTCAAGATGGGCAAATTTGGATAAATGATCCATTGAGAAGTACAAACATGAAGGATCAGTATCTTGAATGTCAAATTGATTTGGTCTCTCATACTCCATCACCTTCCAGACACGAACGACACTGTCTTCACCGGCACTTGCCAGGTACTGGCCATCGGGACTGAATTTCATTGTCAAGATTGAGCCCTTGTGTGCTGAAAATTCTCGTCCTGCATAAAGGGAGGACAATTCTTTTGACCTCTTCCCATGTAGATGAACCAGAACTCTTCGAACTCTAGTCCCCAACTCCAAGTTGAAATCACTCGGCTTCAAATTTTCTTCCCCTTGCCTATTGGTAATACGTGATAGGACATTTAATTTCTTAAGCCAGCCCCTCTTCACTTTCTTCTTCATATCCACCGTGTCACCGGCCTCAGCTTCTTCCTGTGATCTTCCAACCATTCGATGATGGCTAATTTCATCCATGACAATCTCTCTCTCCTCTTCCGAATTCTTGATACTACACTCGGAATTCCCCTCATCAGATATATCATCTTGTATCCATCCTGTAGCTTCAGAGCAAATCGACAAAAACTGGTCTAGTGCCGCCATCCGGCCCATCCTCGCCGGTGTCGGTGGTGGTGTAAATCAAACCCAAACTCGGCAACGATGGCTGCCACCGAGACCCGCAAGACCCAACAAACCCCGCCGGAGACGAATCCGAACCGGAATCGGACTCAAACCATGGCAAAGACAAGCTCAGCACCCTGTCGCTGGAATTGCGCCACACGCGCAGATCCACATTTTCTTGAGGAGAACAGTCACGGCGTGTTGGAGGTCCTCTTTACCGCGATCGACGGCGATTGGCGGTGGTGTTGTGCTTGTGTGTGTGCATATATATATATTAGAAAAAGGATCGCACGTGTAATAAATTTGTTTGTAGATAATATGATAGAAATTTATTAGTATTAAATTTTATAAAAATTATTTTATTTTTTTTATTAAAAAAATTCATAATAAATAGATAATACTTGTTAAAATTTTGTAGAAATTATTTTAAAAACTTTTTTATGTCAAATAATAAATATTTTTTTTATACTAATAATTCTTCTCTAATTAAATTTTAATAAATAAATAAATAGGTAATTCGTGTTAGAATTTTATAGAAATTCTTTTAAAACTACTTTTATATCAATTAATAAATAATTTTTTACATTAACAATAGTTGCCTAATTAGATTTTCTTTTATTAAAAAAACTCAAAATAAATAGATAAATATGTAATTTGCGGTACAGTTTTTCTAATCTAATTAGATTTTTTTTTATTAAAAAACTTATAATAAACAAATAAATAGGTAATTTGTATTATAGTTTAATATAAACTCTTTTAAAAACTGTTATTATATCAATTAATAAATATTTTTATATTAATAATTATTGTCTAATTAGATTTTTTTTATTAAAAAACTCATAATAAATAGGTAAATAGGTAATTTGTGTTAGAATTTTATAGAAACTCTTTTAAAACCTCTTTTTAGATCAATTAATAAATAATTTTTTATATTAATAATATTTGTCTACTTAGATTTCCTTTTTTTAAAACACTTAATAAATAAATAAATAGGTAATTTGTGTTAGAATTTTATAGAAACTCTTTAAATACTATATCTTTGTCTACTGTGATAGAGTTTTATTGAAAATAAAATATGTAATTTATGATAGAATTTTATACAAATTATTTTATTTTCTTTAAATATATCATTGTCTAATTAAATTTAATTTTATTAAAAAACTCATAATAAAAGTTAATTTCTGGTAGAGTTTTAGAAAAATTATTTTTATTTTATATATAAATTAATAAATATTTTTTATATTAATCATCATTGCCTAATTAGATTTTCTATTATTAAAAAATTCATAATAATAAATAGATAAATAGGTTAATTTAAATTTTATTAGATAGATTTTAGAGTCTGATAGAGTTTTTTTTTTTTTTTAATAAAAACCCTTTTCATATCAATTAATAAATATTTTTTTTATATAAATAGATACTTAAATACTGAAACTCTTTGGACATTTAATAATAGTATTGATAAAAACTCTTTTTATATCAATTAATAAATATTTTTTTATATAAATAAATAAATACTGAAACATTTTAGATTTTCTTTTATTATTATGAATTTTTTAATAATAAACACTTTGGCAGAGTTTTTGTATTTTACTCTGAAAATTAGATTTTCTTTTTAAAAAAAATTCATAATAATAAATAGATAAATAGGTTAATTTGAATTTTATTAGATAGATTTTAAAGTTTTATAGAGTTTTTTTTTTTTTTTTTTTATGAAAACACTTTTCATAACATTTAATAAATATTTTTTATATAAATAAATAAATACTGAAACTTTAGATTTTCTTTTATTAAAAAATTCATAATAATAAATAGATAAATAGGAGGTAGATTTTAAAGTTTTCCAGAGTTTTTTTTTTTTTTTTTCAATAAAAACTCTTTTCATATCCTTTAATAAATATTTTTTATATAAACAAATAAATATTGAAATACTAAAACTCCCTGCACTTTTAATAAAATTTGTTTATATAAATAAATAAATATTAAAACTATTTTGCAGAGCTTCTATATTCTGTATTTTATATATAAATATATAATAAAATTTGCCATGGGAGCTCCTTGGCTGCCACCCTTTCTCCTTCTCCTCCACTTGATTTCCTTAGTAGAATTTCTATGGCCTTTACATTTATTATTCCCCTCAACGTGCTTTACCATTCCTCCTTATTAGAATTCATTTCTGACCATTTATTAAGTTTGGGCTTGAGGTCAAGTTATAATTTTCATGGGCCTTCTTAGGCATTCATGTAGATCGTGTTGTCCCCGACAAAACCTAGAAGTTTCGGCGGATTCGGAACACTTTTTTTTCGGTGGGATTTGAGGTAGGGGGTGTTATAATTTACTTTCTTACTATATTACATGCTTGTGATGCTTATACAACTTGATTACATGCTTGAATCCCAAAATCTAGAGATTTTATTATTTATTTTTCTTGTGAATGATTTGATTTTCCCGGTTGATTATAATTTTGTTTAAACATGTGGCATGATAGAATATTACCCATTGACATGTTGATTGACATATATTAAATCTACCACATTTGGACAAGTATTGATGATTTTATTTAATATTTATCTTGAATAAAATATTAAATCATGTGACCTTAACTAGCTTGAAATTAATATGTGTTACCATATTATATTAGGCCCTAGCATGCTCTGTAACATAGGTGAATTTGAGAGTAATCGGAGGTGTTTTAAAATCTATAGATAATTAACTAAATTGATTAATTAATTTGCTCCAAGTGCAATATTCATCCCATTGGATTTTCGATTTGATATCTTGACGTGCATGCCATGTAGTTTCACATATATTAAATTTAGAATATTTGATTAGGTTTTGAAACCTTTCATTTAATTAATTTCTTTGTTTAAGATTTAATCCTCATGATGATAAACAACTTGGAATTTAAGTGTGGCATGCTAGTAATTTAGGCCTTTGTATACTTGTTAACATATATTAAATTGACATCATTTGAATAAGAATTGCAAATTTTATTTAATATTTTTCTTTTGTGAAAGTTTAATTCACATGGTTGTAACTTGAATGAAATAAACTTATAATGTGTTATTACAATAGGCCTTGGCATGTTTCCTAACATATGTTAATTTGAGAGCATTTGGATAAGTCTAAAAATCTAGAGATTTTAATTAAAATCTATTTAATGGTTCCCTTAGCTTAATTAAGTTTTTAACTTGATATTTGTAATGACCATGACTTGTTTACTAGCATATATTAATTTGGAACCATTAGAAGTTGTTTTAGAACCTTGGAATTTAAATTAGCATGATTTAATTAAAGTTTTACTTTGTTGTTCTAACAACCTAATTGAGTTTTAGAATGGATATAGGTGATGACCATGCTATGTTGTTTAACATGTGTTAATTATGGGTCATTTAATTGAGATTTGAAACTTAGAGGAATTAATTAGGTGATGTAATTAATTTCCGTTTTTATTGCGTTAATGATTTAATCATGTGTTTGACATTGATTGTATATTTAAATCATGATTTTAAACTTGTATTGGATTCTTCAGTTTATATTTTCAATATTGAATTATATTGTTATAGTGCGTAACGAATCGCACTCTGAAGATTCGACATTTGTCATGCCATAATAGTTGTGGACTTAGAGTATATATTGTATGCGTTTCTAAATTCGGTAGTGTATGGTAGATAGTTGATATCTTGTATATACATGTTGATATATATGTTGTTGCACAACTTGTTGATTTTAGAAACTTAGGGATGTCGTTGTTTGGCTACAGTTAGGACTTGGTTCTAGTACGGGGAATTGTCCCTCTATATAGTCTAGTGCGCACATAGGGAGGTTACCCGTGGGCTAGTAACCTTAAAGTAACTATGGTGTCAGTCTAATCCGGCGTGACGTCCAAGTATCCACTTTGTTTGATTTCGCATTTCATTTCAAGTTGATAATTAGATGATGTTGTAACTTGTTATTCCATATATGATTTCCCATTTTAAGTTTCAAGATGTTAACTTTGAAAAATCATGTTTTGATGCGTTGTATTATAAGTTCTAATGTTAGTTAAAAATTGCATCGATATTGTAAATTGTGTTTTGATGTTCTAATA